TACTCCATGTCTCCATCAGCGTCCAGGCCCAAGATACCGAGGATTCAATTTCAGGGCTCTCTGGAAATATAAGGCTGCCTTCTCATGCTGAGAACGTAAACTATAATAATTGCCTGATTAAAAACAAAAATGAGTAACTAGAAAGGTAAAAGTAAGAGTCCATTAAAATAACATTCTACCTTTCTTTCCACCTTTGGGTAAAAACAACAAAAACAAAATAGCATTCTACCAAGTAGGCATGAAACTATAACCTATTTGCCTTAAAGTCCTGGCAAAAAAACCAATTGTACACAGGGAAATATCATTCCCTTGGAAATATATTTCATTTATCACATGTTCTACTTTTTAAAAAAAGTGTTTCTAAATGTTTCTAAGAGCAAGACCCTGTCTCTACTAAAAATAGAAAGAAATTAATTGGCCAACTAAATATATATAGAAAAAATTAGCTGGGCATGCTGGCACGTGCCTGTAGCCCAGCTACTCGGGAGGCTGAGGCAGAAAGTATTGCTTGAGCCTAGGAGTTTGAGGTTGCTATGAGCTAGGCTCACGTCACAGCACTCTAGCCCAGGGAACAGAGTGAAACTCAGTCTCAAAAAAAAAAAAGTTTAAATAAAGAACATTATAAAGCAGTACGTATAATGATATACATTTTGCAAGCACCCTACTCACACACACACACACACATACACACACACATCTTTTTAGTATTTGCACAGAAAAATATCCTGAAATCATGTTACCAAACAATCTTTGGGGTGGGATTACAGTGAACTTTCCAAACTTTTTAAGTTTTTATTTGAAAATAATTTCAAACTAACAGAAAAGTTGCAAGAATAAGAATAGTACAAGGGATACCCATGTACCCTTTGTCCAGATTCATATATTATGAAGATTTTATTCTATTTGATTTATTATTTCTCTTTCCTCTCTCTCTACATATACAGTCCCCCCCACACACACACATTTTTTTCCCTCTGAGCCATTTGAGAGTAAGTTGCAGCTATGATACTTTACCCCTAAATGGTTCAGTGTGTCTCTCTTTAGAATAAGGATATTTTCTTAAATAATCACAGTATAGTTATAAATAATCACAGTATAGTCAGTAAATTTCACATTGATAACATGTTTTTTTTTTTTTGCAATCACTCAAGAGGAACTTTATTTTCTGGCTAGCCAGGGTCCAGGCCTTAGAGTACCAGCACAGTGGTCGCTCTTACAGGCAAGGACCTGATAACATGTTTTAATCTACTATTGAATTCCAAGTTTGTCAGTTGACCCAGCAGTATTCTTCTATAGCATTTCTCCCTCAGTACAGTCTAGGATCAGGAATTACATTTAGTTATCATGTTTCTTTAATCTCTTCTAATCTGGAACAGTCTTTCTTTGTCTGTTATTACTTTGACAGTTTTTTGAAGTTTATGGTTCTCCCTTCCCCCTTTCTTTTTTTTAAATTAACAGACTTTATTTTTTAGAGTAGTTTTAGCTTCACAGCAAAATTAAGCAGAAATGACAGAAGTTCCCATTATTATCCCTTCCAAAAATATGCAGCTTATCCCACCATCAAATCTTACGTGAGTGTGCTATATTTGCTTTAATCAGTGAAATGGCATTGATGCATTATTATCAACAGAAGTCCATAGTTTACATTAGGGTTCAGTCTTTGTATTATACATTCTATTATGACCCTTGTAGGTTTTTGATTGTTGTGGTTTTGTGTGAAGGAGCAGAGCGGTCCACGTTTTCCGTGTTCGCTCGTCAAGCTAGACGGTGAGTGTGCGAGGGCGGTCGCCAGCACTAGCTCACACAGCACTCTGGCCTGGGGCCCCCTCTCTGGGAGGAGGACGGCATTCTGGGCGTGCGAGTGACCCTTCTCCCCGCCCTAGGCCGGTCCCATGCGAGAGGGGCCTCCCGAGTAAGCCCGCCCCCACGTCCGGCCTGCTGGCGCAACAGGATGCCCGCGAGGTACGCGCGCACCTGGCCATTGTCCCGGCGCGAGTGATGCAGGTCCCGGCGAAAGGGGTTCCCCCGTCCAAAGGGCAGCTAAGAGGAATTGCTAGCCATATCAGTTGGCCAATTAATTCTTTTCTATATTTATAGTAGAGACGGGGTCTCCGCTCTTGCTCAGGATGGTTTGAAGTTTCTGACCTTGAGGCAATCCGCCCGCCTCGGCGCTCACAAGAGCCTAGGATCACAGCCCGTGAGGCCACAGCGGCCCGGCCTATTATGAGCCCTTTTTATTTTTAATAGCACATTCTTCATTTTGGATATATCTGATGTTTTTTTCACACGGTATTTATATTGTGATACAGACATGTAATAAACCCTGTCCACTGCTAATGTTAATTTTGATCACTTGGTCAAGATGTTGTCCATTTTCTTCTATTGTATAGTAACTATTATTTCCCTTGGAACTAATCAGCAATCTGTGAGGATATACTTTTTTTTTTTTTTTTTTTTGAGACAGAGTCTCACTTTGTTGCCCAGGCTAGAGTGAGTGCCATGGTATCAGCCTAGCTCACAGCAACCTCAAACTCCTGGGCTTAAGCTATCCTACTGCCTCAGCCTTCCAAGTAGCTGGGACTACAGGCATGCGCCACCATGCCCGGCTAATTTTTTATATAATATTAGTTGCCAATTATTTCTTTGTATTTAATATAGAGATGGGGTTTGATCTTGCTCAGGCTGGTTTCTAACTCCTGACCTGGAGCAATCCAGCCTGCCTCAGCCTCCCAGAGTGTTAGTATTACAGGCGTGAGCCACTGCGCCCCGCCAGGATATAGTTTAAGACCATGCAAATATCCTCCTCATAAAAATTTCCCTCCATATTTAATATCCATTGTTAATTTTTGTCTGAAGCACTCTTTGCTATAATGCTGCAGAATGGTTTTCCACTCTCACACTTTTTCCACATTGACTATTCAACATCTTCTCTAAGAGGCTTCCCTCCCCTTCCCCATTTATTTATCTACTTATTTAGTATTAATATGGATTCATAGATTCTTGTACTTTTAATTGTTTATAGTAAATTACTGGACTTAAATTTTTTTGGTGCTCAGATTATCTCTGATTTGGCCAGTGGGAGCCCCTGTGTAGTTGTTTAAAATTAGTGACTGAAAGTAGATGCCCTGTTGGTTAAATTTTGCCCTTTAAGTAAAATTGGGCTGCTAGTTTGGGGATAAACTGATAAAAGATGTATTTGTTTCTTTTCTCTTACAGTCTGGAGAAAAAAAGAAAGATGATGAAACAGTTGATAGCTTAGGTAAGAATTTCTTTCTTTTACCTTTTGACCTAAAAAGCAGGGTTGCCAACTTAAATGCCTGCAGGAGCCAGGCAGGAAATATAAATGGAGTGAGGATGATAGTTGCAAATTTGAAAGCACATGGCATATCTTAGCTGCCTGGTTCTCACCCAGCTCTGGCTGAGGGCTGCTTTGGGGGAATCTGGGTCTGATGCTGTTGGGGCTTTCCTCTTTGGTCCTTCCCTGTTCCCTGTAGCCCAAAATTCAGATTTGTAGTTGAGGTTTCTTTTCTTTTTTCTTTGTTTTTTATTTATTTATTTATTTTTATTTTTTTCACTATATACAACCTGAAGATGAGATTTCTGATTGTTAAACATTCATAGGTAATTCATATTTTTAAAAAACTGTGTGGGCCTAACAAAATATGACTGCAGATCCATTATCAGTTGCACCGTCTAGAACAAAGAAATGGGTTGTGTAAGATATCATTGGCCACTTGTGAGTGTTTGTCGGAGGTTTTAGGTATAACTTTAGTTGATGCTAAAGGGAATATCTGTATCTATGAAAATGAAAACCAGCATCCTACTCTTAGATCAGGAGCTTTCTTTCTTTGTTAGGCCCCCTGGAGAAAGGACAAGTGAAAAATGAGGCTCTTAGAGAATTGAGAGTGGAGCTCAGCAAAAAACACCAAGCTCGGGAACTTGATGGATTTGGCCTTTATCTGTAAGTGTTAGAGTAATTTGGAAGTTTCTAGAACATTCTCCTGAGTAGAAGGGAAATGGTGTAAGGCATTAACTTCACCTTTAATTGTTTCCTTTTTTCCCAGCTATGGTGTGGTGCTTCGAAAGCTGGACTTGATAAAAGAGGCCATTGATGTGTTTGTGGAGGCCACTCATATTTTGCCTTTGCACTGGGGAGCCTGGTTAGAACTCTGTAACCTGATCACAGACAAAGAGATGGTAAATTGAGATGAACTATGTGAAGAACCCTCCACTTCAAGGCTTATGTAATTCTGTAATAATGTAGGGGTGGAAGAGTTTTGTCAGACCTTTGGTTGCACCTCTGGTCTCTTCCACTGCTTTGGAATTTAGGTCTTTGTTTGAAAGACTAATGACTAGCTCTTGTTCAGTAGTCGCTGTTGGATTTGCATCAGTTATATTAGGATATTTTTTCATATTCATGTTTTCACATTCAGGTTTTATGGTAACTTATTTTATAAACTAAATGTTATAGTTTTTCCCCCAATTCTAAAAATGCTATAGGAAAAGTTTCTCTAATATCAAGGATTATATGAAAACAACTTCTGAGCTGTCATGGATTCTGTAAAGATTTGGAGATTTGTTTATTAATGAAATAATGTATATGACATTGCTTTATAAACTGTAATCTTTTTTTTTTTTTGAGACAGTCTCACTCTCTTGCCTGGGCTAGAGTGCTCTGGCATTAGCCTAGCTGACAGCAACCTCAAACTCCTGGGCTTAAGCAATCCTTCTACCTCAGCCTCCTGAGTAGCTGGGACTATAGACATGTGCCACCATGCCCAGCTAAATTTTTAGTTGTTTGGCTAATTTCTTTCTATTTATAGTAGAGATGAGGTCTTGCTCTTGCTCAGGCTGATCTCGAACTCCTGAGCTCAAGCAATCCTCCCAGAGTGATAGGATTACAGGTGTGAGCCACCATGCCTGGCCTAACTATAATCATTTTATTAGTCATTATTAAGGACATTATCTATAGTGTTTATTTTGCTGTTCTTCAGTAGTTAATGGAGGCAACAACACACTTCCCTTTGTTAGCTATAAAGAGCCAAAGACTGGTTGATTTTGCCTCGTCATGAGTCGTGCTACTATGTCTGTGTCTGAAATCTTGTCTTGGTTTACTTGTGTTCATCTATCTCTAACTGCCTACTAGACTTCAGTGAAAGTTTGTTTTATCTCTGAATTCAAAATATTGAAAACCAAATTTCTCATCTTGCCTACCAAATTCTCTCTTTAACTCCCAACTTGATAGATTCTTACTAGTATCCTAGTATCACTATTTCTCAAAGTACATAATCTGGACACCTCAGACTCATATTTGTCTCTCCGCTTTCTCTTTCTTATCTCCCTTTAGCCAGTCATGAGACATTGCCATAGCCTTGGTTACTTTCCTATATACATCTTTTTCTCTTGGTTTCCTTTGGCATATCAGTTATCATCTCAAATTTGGATTACTTATAAGTAATAGATACTTTCTATCTAACATTCCCATTTTTCTACATCCATTTCCAAGCCCTCTTGCATACTGTTTCCCAACTTATTCTTAAAGCACCCATGTCATCATTCTCTTGCTAAAACTTTGCAGTGGTTTCCTATTGCATCGCTCTTTCTGTTGCACCATAGTACCCACCCTACCAGTTCAGTCTTTTTTTTTTTTTTTTTGAGAAGGGAGTCTCACACTTGTTGCCCAGGCTAGAGTGAGTGCCTATCATCAACCTAGCTCACAGCAACCTCAAACTCCTGGGCTCAAGCAATCCTACTGCCTCAGCTTCCTGAGTAGCTGGGACTACAGGCATGCGCCACCATGCCTGGCTCATTTTTTTTTTTCCTATATGTATTAGTTGGCCAATTAATTTATTTCTATTTATAGTAGAAACAGGGTCTCGCTCTTGCTCAGGCTGGTTTCGAACTCCTGACCTCAGGGAATCTGCCCGCCTCGGCCTCTCAGAGTGCTAGGATTACAGGCGTGAGCCACTGCGCCTGGCCAGTTCAATCTTATTTTTTCCACTACTTGCCAGTACTAGCCTTCCTCAAACCAGGCTAGTTTCCCCATCCTACTCATCCTATTCATCATGACTCTTTTTTGCCTCTGCTTATGTTGTTGCCCTTGCCTAGAATATTGTCTTCTTTCTCTTCCTTTCCCTTTTTCTATTCAAATCCTACCCATTCTCTAAAATTCACTTCAATCCTTTCTTAATCCTTTGAAGCCTTTTCCAACTAGGCCCCTTCCTCCCTATTGTGCTTATAAGTCATATTCACTTAGTAGGACTACCCTGTGTTTATTATTATGTACTCTAATACAATTTTAGTGATAAATTCCTTTAGACAATATAGTTCTGGATGTTTGTTTGGGAGAGAGGTCAAATTATATTGTGTCCCTCTCTCTCCCGCTGCCAGCTGAAGTTCCTGTCTTTGCCAGACACCTGGATGAAAGATTTTTTCTGGGCTCACATATACACAGAGTTGCAGTTGAAGAGGAGGCCCTGCAAAAGTATCAGAATCTCATTGATGTGGGCTTCTCTAAGAGCTCATATATTGTTTCCCAAATTGCAGTTGCCTATCACAATATCAGAGGTGAGTGAATAAGGACAATGAAATACCATCAAACTCTGAGAGGTGTACTGTATTGTTTTCTGAACTATTTTTCTTCTTTTTGTAGATATTGACAAAGCCTCTCCATTTTTAATGAGCTAAGGAAGCAAGACCCTTACAGGATTGAAAATATGGAACCATTCTCCAACCTCTTTATGTTAGGGTGAGGTGATTCTCTTTCTTGGCTTGATTAAGCTCTTTGTGCTTTAATCTTCTGGTTTGGATTGTCACTCAGTTGTGTTAGATATAAAAATAATTTGGGGAGTTCTTTTTTGTGCTTAGATCATCTTTTTCTTTCTTCCAGAGCATGAAATCTGAGTTGAGTTATTTGGCTCATAACCTCTGTGAGATTGATAAATATCGTGTAGAAACATGCTGTGTAATTGGTAAGAGTTAACTATATTTTTTTCTTTAAAGATTTTTCTTTATTCTAAGTAACACAAATGTAAAAATAACAGTATTTAAAGTGTCAAAAGTAACAGAATTATATACCATAGAATTTGAAAGTTCACTGTAATCCCACCCCAAAGATTGTTTGGCGAACATGATTTCAGGATATTTTTCTGTGCAAATACTAAAAAGATGTGTGTGTATGTGTGTGTGTGTGTGTGAGTAGTGTGCTTGCAAAATGTATATCATTATACGTACTGCTTTATAATTCTTTTATTTAAACTTTTTTTTTTGAGACTGAGTTTCACTCTGTTCCCTGGGCTAGAGTGCGTGTGCGTGAGCCTAGCTCATAGCAACCTCAAACTCCTAGGCTCAAGCAATACTTTCTGCCTCAGCCTCCCGAGTAGCTGGGGCTACAGGCACGTGCCAGCATGCCCAGCTAATTTTTTCTATATATATTTAGTTGGCCAATTAATTTCTTTCTATTTTTAGTAGAGACAGGGTCTTGCTCTTAGAAACATTTAGAAACACTTTTTTTTAAAAAGTAGAACATGTGATAAATGAAATATATTTCCCAAGGGAATGATATTTCCCTGTGTACAATTGGTTTTTTTGCCAGGACTTTAAGGCAAATAGGTTATAGTTTCATGCCTACTTGGTAGAATGCTATTTTGTTTTTGTTGTTTTTACCCAAAGGTGGAAAGAAAGGTAGAATGTTATTTTAATGGACTCTTACTTTTACCTTTCTAGTTACTCATTTTTTGTTTTTAATCAGGCAATTATTATAGTTTACGTTCTCAGCATGAGAAGGCAGCCTTATATTTCCAGAGAGCCCTGAAATTGAATCCTCGGTATCTTGGGGCCTGGACGCTGATGGGACATGAGTACATGGAAATGAAGAACACATCTGCTGCCATCCAGGCTTATAGGTGAGCACCTAGTTGAGGGGTGAGATGGAGCAGATTGCTGTGATATCAGGAGCCTCTATTGAGCCTGCAGGTTGCTAACCTTGATTCTGCCCTCTTACCAGTCAGTCTCTTCCATTTCTTAGACATGCCATTGAGGTCAACAAACGGGACTACAGAGCTTGGTATGGCCTTGGGCAGACCTATGAAATCCTTAAGATGCCATTTTACTGCCTTTATTATTACAGACGTGCCCACCAGCTTCGGTAAGTCTTGTCACTTGACAATGTGTTTGGTATGGGAAGGGCTAATAATTTTTCCTTTGATAGCAACTGATGAATCACAGTGAATGGTTTTGGACTCTTGGAGACCTGAGTTTAAACTTCCCAAACACTGTTTGGTCTTTTTTGAGACGGGTTCTTCTTCTTTTGCCTAGGCTAGGAATATAGGTGCATGCTACCACCATGCCTGGGTAATTTTTAGGTATTTTTTAGAGACAGGGTGTTGCTATGTTGCCCAGGCTGGTCTTAAACTCCTGGCCTCAAGTGATCCTTCCACTTTGGTCTCCCAAAGTGCTGAGGTTATAGGCATGAACCATTGCACCCAGCCTGGTCATGTTTATTTAGTGTATAACTAACAGTATAATTACAAATACAAAGTAATCTAATTATGAAGCATTTGGTTAAAGACTAGTCCTCACATAGATTTGAAATAGCAGTTGTGCTAGTTCTTCAAGGGAGGACTTCAGTTACTAATAAAGTCTTTGCTCAGACTGCGAATTCTTTTTCAGACCCAATGATTCTCGTATGCTCGTTGCTTTAGGAGAATGTTATGAGAAACTCAATCAACTAGTGGAAGCCAAGAAGGTACCTGACATTGAGTTCTGAAGAATTTGAATGGATCTGTTGTTTAGATAAAGGTTGGGCTATCTGTGCTCTAATTTTTCCCTTATTCTGATGTACCCGCACAGGAGTCTGAATATTTATAGGTACATAGGGTAAAAGCAAATCTTGGCCAAGATCATCAGTGGGAATGTCAGTATAAAGCCTGGACCTATCAGAGCTAATAAAAATGCCTTACATTCTGCAAGTCTGAACTTCTGGGTGGCTGGCAGGGCCTTAGCTTTTATGTGATTAGTCATGGCACATGGGACAGTGGTCAAAGTGACCAGTTTATTTTTTTGACAGTGTTATTGGAGAGCTTACGCCGTGGGAGATGTGGAGAAAATGGCTCTGGTGAAACTGGCAAAGTGAGTGAAAGGAGTGAAATGCTATTGATATTTGTGTTGGCTTCTCTGAGATGGTAGGTCTTGCATGTTCTAGGGCCTCCCATCTATCTACTGGCCTTCATGGGTATGGGGATGTATCAGGGTGTCTGAATGCTGGTTTGTGAATTTAGCCATCTTGACTCCAGAGAATGCTACTTTGAAGGGGGGAATTGTTTTCCTATTGGGCAAGGGATCAAGAATGAACTGAAGAAAAATGAAATGAAGTTTGTGTCAGAGTAGTCTATGAACACAACTTTAAAGTACTCATCTCTTCCTGATAAGGGCCAGAAAAATTAGGAATAACTCAGAAATAGTAGGCATGAGGTTTTTAAATGCAATTTCATTCCTGCTGGTTCTTTTCTGAGTTCTTAGGGAAAAATGAGTTGCTTTGTACCTTTTTAAATCTCACTGTGGGTATTAGCAGAAAATGTTTTAAGAATGTTATCCAGGTTAAGTATTTACTAACTCTCCATCATTAGTAATAGAGTCATGATTCTAAGTTTTGATAACAGTAACCAGCACATCTTGTGTGCACTAATACTATTCTAGGTCCCAGGGCATCGTTTATGTCAAAATTTGTACTTGTCTATGTATTGTCATTTTTTGGTCTTAATTATGGTGCTTTAACTTTTTGTCACTAACTTGCTTCAAGATCTGATTTGTACTAAAGGCCAATTTCTTTTGTAGGCTTCATGAACAATTGACTGAGTCAGAACAGGCTGCCCAGTGTTATATCAAGTATATCCAAGATATCTATTCCTGTGGGGTATGTATCATAGCATGGGAATTGTGTTGTTGATCTTAGTATTATCACCTCAGTCATTCCTGCTTTCCCTTTCTAGGAAATAGTGGAACACTTGGAGGAAAGCACTGCTTTCCGCTATCTCGCCCAGTACTATTTTAAGTGCAAGCTGTGGGATGAAGCTTCAACTTGTGCCCAAAAGTGCTGTGCATTCAATGATGTGAGTGTCAGTTCTTTAATAAAGGGTTTGGATTTTAGGCTAAAACATTTGATCTTTACCATGATTTGGGTGGAAGGTGGGTAAGAATGTAAGTAGAAAGCCTACCATGATCTGTGGAACTTGTATTAATATATCAGTATCTTTTTCTTTTTTGTCTTCTTTCCAACTTGTCACTAAGTTGAGAATTATATCAGTATTTTAATAACCTGTATTTGAGAATAGCCTTGGGCATATTTTGAAAGTTGCCTAACTTTGTTTCAGACCCGGGAAGAAGGTAAGGCCTTACTCCGGCAAATCCTACAGCTTCGAAACCAAGGCGAGACTTCTACCACGGAGACGCCTGCTCCCTTTTTCCTCCCTGCTTCACTCTCTGCTAACAACACTCCCACACGCAGAGTTTCTCCACTCAACTTATCTTCTGTCACGCCATAGTTGGCTACTTTTAAGCCAGCACATTGCTAGACCCATCTTAAGCCTTACCTCCATGTACAGAACGGTCACATCTGTTCTTCCAAGGACGACAGCTCTTCTCGTTTCTACAGATGGAAACAGCTCCATGGAGACAGTTTATATAATCGCCTTCAGAAGCAGATTGAGAGAATAATACTGGCAGGAAGGCATTGTCTTTTGTCAATTCGAAGCACTTCTATCTCCCTTCTGTTGAGAGTGGCTATGGATCCTGGCCTTCTTCTCAGAGCCATCCTCCCACCCCACCCCGCAAAAAAACTCATCCCCTTTACAGCACTTTAGCACAGGCATTGCTACAGGACAAAGTTTTAATGCTGTTGGGAGTGGGAGAGAGGCAAGGGAGAAAAGTCAACCACTCTACCTTCTGCTGGCTGGAGGGGCACTGAGTACCCTAGGAAGAGGTCAGGGCAATGGACAGTAATTACCTTGCTCTTGGATTTGCTGAGCATCACCCCCATTCTGATGTCAGAGATTAGGTTTAAATGGAGTGAAGCTATACATTTATTCATACTCTAGGGAGACAATCTTCCAAAATATTTTTGAGAAGGAGTCTTCTATAGTAAAAGCTTTCAAAGTGGAAGTACTTACTAAGTTAGATAAAAGAGCAAAAAGGATGTCACTGAGCTTGGAACTGCTGATGGCCCTTATGGAGGGCAAAACATGGCTGTAGTGTTAACTGTACTCCTACCAAAGCAAGGAGACAGGATTGCTGATAATTTCATGGATATTGGAAATAACTTTTGTGACTACACAGATAATAAACTCACTTCAAGCTGGTCTGTTTTAATAAATTTTCAGTATAATTGTTTTCTCCCTCCTATTTCCAACAAATGTTTTTCAACCTTTATCTAGGACAAGGTAAAGGGAATCATTCTTGTGGTGCTCTTAAAGCATTTCAGGCCTGTCCATATGTATTCAGTAGGAGGTAAAATACTGTGACTATAATGTCTGTGAAGTGAATTTGTATAGTAGATGGTATAGATCATTCTGAGCTCAGAGTCCAGCCTTCATTTTTACTACAAGGACATTTGTTATCTATTCATCTCCTAAGGTATAACACTTCATTTTATATTAAGGAAGGTTTAGAATGTCTAATGCCACTTGAATTCCTTTCTTGCTAAGCCTTCTTAGGCTAGCTGTACACTAGTTACTGGTCTCCACTGCTGTGCCTATGCAAGGCTCTCCAATGGGCTAGTATGATGTTTGATTTTCAAGTTTTCTGCCCCTTTTTATAATTTCTTTTAATGGTTTTGCTACATTTGGAATTCAAATAAAAGTGAACAATAATATCTTTAATATAGCTTTCTTGTGTGCATAGAAACCACATAAGTAAAAAAACATGAGATTACATAAGTGATTATAATACAGAAGAGAAAAAACAACTAGTGTCTGAGTATTGCATTCTGGATAGAGTTCCAGGTATATGGTAAAGCTTAAAAAGAGACCAGTTTCTTAAGGTGAAACACCTCAATCTGACCCATCTCAGGGCAATGACTGCTCTTCTCCTTTTCCACAGCCTTAGTATTTTTTGCCAAAAGGCCCAGATTTAAGTAAAGGAGAGTGCCTTGAGCGCAGGATCCGGGCGTAAGGGCTGCAGTCTGTTGAGCTATGGCAGGTAGGTGTCCGGGGAAGTAAGTTTCGAAGGAATGGTTTCTTCCCTGGGGGTTGCTGGTTTGGTTGCTGGTTTTCCTGGTTGGCACCAAGGCGCTTTTTGGCAGAAGCCTGGCCTTGGAGTTTTAGCACCGTATGATACTGCTCAGCAATGCATGCTGCCTTCTTCCGAAGGTCTAGTTTCACTAGCATCATGTTATTCTGCAGCTCAGCCAGGGTCTGGTCCTAAGGAAGATCAATAAAGTTCCAAAAAACACATTTCTGTCTGGTATATTAGAAAAACAAAAATAATCTAGGACATAATATGACCCTACAATCTAAGCCCTCAATAAATGCCATTGTAAATTGCCCCCTTATCAGACTGCGATTGCTAAAATTTTTGTCACATTTTTCAAAATAAACTCCAAAGAATTCTAAAAAAAAAAAAGAAAAGAAAAAAGAAAAACAAGAAGGCAAGGTAATACGTATCATCCATTATTAGTTACTAGTAACAACTGTTTCTTCAAAGATGAACTCTTTAAGATCAGAGCTTATAACTGAACAGCGAGTATTTTCTTTTGAGACCAAAACATAAGCAGTGCCCAATAGGACATTTTCTAACACATAAGGTAATAGATGTTTGAATAAGTTTATTTAACTTCCAAGAGCCTCAGTCCCTAAAAGTTCTAAGATGTACATTTTTCCTTAACATTTTAACATCTCTGGAATCAAGATGCATCTTATTGATGAGAAATGTCATAGAGTAATTGTTAATACTTTTCTCTTACTAGTACATATAATAATGGTTTTGTCTAATCAGTGGCATCTTAGATGAAATATAGTAGCATCTACCTTCCTAGGGTTATTATGACAGAGAAAATGCCTGCAAATTACTTAGCATAGTGCTTGGTACTTAGTAAATGCTTAAAAAGAATAGTTATTTTGATAATGCAAGGAAATAAATTTAGCCTAAAAATACTTATTTTTCTCTTCTGGTCCTCATTTGCATTATCAAAATAACTATTCTTTTTAAGCATTATACACACACACACACACACACACACATACATACATACATACATACATACATGCATACATACTAGAGTGGGCTGGTAGGAGAGGAGGGGGTATATATGCTGCCCTAACCTGTTTGATTAAGATGTCATCACAAGTGGTCAAGGCTTGACGAAGTTTTCCTGCCCCAGTGCTGTGGCAACAGGCTCTTTCTGCTGCTTGGAGAGATTCACCAAGTTTCTGAAGTTCTGTCCGAAGCAGCCTTATATTCTGCAAAAGGGGGAGTAGGAATCAGATTGTGATTCCAAGATCAACCAGTGTAGCAATCTAGAGGAATTGAGTAGCTATTTGAACAGAAGTAAAACTAGAAAGACTAGTCAGCTGAGTGAAACAGCCACTCTCCAGGACTGTGCACAGAAAACCATCTTATCCTCATGTGAACCAGTGATAAAGAATGTTGGATGTTGGAAATTACCTAGATAAGAGCTTTGGTAGCAGAGAAAGGTAATTACCTTCTGGCCCTCCTCTAACTTCTTGTCCACATCAGTGGTGAAGGGCTTGGCTGAGGGTGGTGGTTCTAACATTTTCTGATACTTCTGCAGCTCTGAGGGAAGAAAACAGGAAACTTAAATATAGGGTTTTTCTAGCCTTAGATTTACCTCTTTAACTGAGTTAACAGTAGCTTGTCCCAAATATAAAAAGTGAGGCCATGTACATCCTAGAGTAAAAGGTCAGGGGGATGTAGCTCACAGTTGACGAAAATATGCTGGAGTGGGAGTCAGAAGGCTCAGGTAACAGTTGAGTAACAGTTCTTCCCTGATCTACTGTTACGCTTTCTTCTCTCCTTCCTCACCTTCAGTGGTGGAGTTTAGCTCTGCTTTGCACTGTTGTAGTTTAGCTTTAACGTCCTCGAGCTGCTGGGTAGAGGCAGAAGCTGCCAACCTTTGTGACCGTCGTAGGGACAATTCAGACCCTGATTGCTGATGGGCCACTGGCTGCTGTCTGGCTTCCTGCAAGAGAGCTGCTAGCTCTTCAATCTTTTCATCCCGCTCCTAAGAGGGAAGCAAAGAGTACAGTTCTATCCAGAGTCAAACAGATAGTGCAGAAACAGATGACTGAACAAAGGAACAAAACTACTTCCTGACACTCATGCCTTGAAATCCTATTTGCCAGCACTTATACCATTTCCTGCTCAGCTAAACCCTTAATTCACCAAACATAGATTGAATATCTATAAAGCACTAAGGGGAATAGAGAAATGTGAGTTATACATTCTTGTCTTTACCAGAGTTTATAAAATCTGTTTACCTCAAGCAAGCTAGCAATGGAGATTTCAGCAGCTAGTTGAGGCTAGTTCAAGGCAACTTACCTGAATCTCGTCTTGGTAAAAACTTGTCAGTGACTCCTTGAGGATCTTTAGTTTCTCTTCATACATTTCCTCTAATAGTTCCTTTTGGGTGTCCAAATGTTCACTGTTAAAAAGACAAAATAGTGAAGATTCTGAGGAGTGAACTTGGAATACAGATCTTGAGACACAAACTGCATCCCAGTCCCTACTTCCCACCCCCTGTCCCATGTGACAGAGCAAAAGGGGTCATTCAGTGAGTACCTGCACCACTGTTCCCGCTGTTGCATCTGTTCCACCATCTCATTGCAAATTTCTTCACGGAGCTGCATCTCCAGCTGCAACTTGTCCTGTCGTTCTTTCAAGAGCAGTGCTTTCATGGCTTCTACTACCTGTAGGAGCTCCTAGGAGGGACATACATGTCAGAGGTCATCAGATGCCCATCCACCAAATGCTACAAGTCCACTTGGAAGGCAGCATGGGAAATGTGTAGCCGTTAAGTGGCTGTATCAAAGCTTTGTATTCTCACCTCCTTGCTATACATGGAGATATCAGCTTCATTTTCAATGTCATCATCATGCCCTGGGTCTACCTTAGCCACTTTCTCTAAGCTGGGGGATGCCCGAAGACTATGTTCCTTGATGAATGAATGCAAGGATGGGAATCCCAGTTGCACAGGTGGGGCATGCACAAGCTGGAGAGGGGAAAAATCATAATTGACTCCATAACTACTCCCTGTTATCTTTATTAAAGTTACCAGCCCAAAGAGAACACAACCATCACACCTATATCTTCTTACCTGGCTAGCAATGGCCGAGAACTTGGCCACATGAAGAGTCTCATCATAGGTAGATGCACAGGGATTCACATTGACAATCATGCAGGAACGGCCTCGGCCTGTGAAGAAGCCCTGGAATACTCGAGTCAACTTGCTGTCACGGAAGGGAACCAGGTTCTGCTTTGACCTGGCAGAGAATCAGAGATAATAGAGCTATTAGTAGAACTCCAGCCCTTGGGGTATGCCAACATTGTTCCCAGTGGTGACCAGGGAGCCTCTTAGCAAACTACAGAGCCCCAGGCCATCCTAGAGCTTACAGTTAAAAGCTCACCGGTTCTGCTGGTTTTGGCGCAGGGCAGCAATACAACGGCCCAGGGTATGCAGAGAAGTGTTAATGTTTCCTGCTTCCTTCAGCCGTTCACCACTCTTCTGATCTTTGCAGCGCTCTGAGCCAGCCAGATCACACAGTGACAGCCTAGAATGATGCACACACATAAAGACCTCACATGTTATGAGCCTTCCAGCCCTTTGTATAGTTCTAGAGGGGAGGGCCCACCAACAATCTCTGTACACAAGAAAAGAGAAAAAGAACCTCCTCCATGCTCCCTGAACTATCATTTTATAGCCAAGAAGCCCAAATTTCTAAATTGAATAACTTACTCGCTGATCTTAGGGATTATATCCCCTTCCCCCTGAAGGTGCAGGATCCGGATTGAGAAGATGCTATGACTGGAAGTTAAGAAAAAGAGAAAGGTCATTCACATCTTCCATGATCAGGCAGAGGACTAATGTTTCCTGCAACACAGTGAAGGGTTTATTCTCATAACCCACTCACCTGCGGCTGGAGTTCTGGTTCAGGTGGGTGCTGGCAAAGCTCTGGTTCTTACGACCCACTTTCAGGAGTTTCCAAGCCTCCTCAGCATCTTGAACATGAATCCAATTGAGATCTGGGGCGAAAGGAGAGAAGGGCATAAGATGGGAACACCCAGCTTTTTCCCCGGTCTCTCCCCAATTCTCTAGGGGTCATGCCAGCCTCCCCACATTCTCATACCTTTCACATAGGGGTTGCCATTTTGATCTTCGCACAGTCGCAGAGTCTGCCTCTTGCGCTGCTGGCTAGGCGGTTCTAACAGGTCATAAATCAGTTCATTGTAGATCTCAAAGAAGGAGATCCAGATAGAGAAGCGAATGTCTGCTGGTACACTTATTGGGGCAGTGTCTGGCTGTGCCCACTGGTGACTTGTTTCTGGGGAGGAAGCCAATGTACAGAGCATTAACCCTAGGAGCAGTCCATCTCCCCTTTGGCCTGCAGGGGCTTTGGAAGGTGGAGGTCAGGTTGCAATCTCTGGTCTGCACCCCTGGCAGCTGTTGGGAACAGGGAGTGGGTTCCTATTATTTGGCACAGAGCCCATTCCTGGTACATACCATCCAGCTGGCTACTGCTGGTAAACTGACTGGTGGAAGACAGCCCAGCAATGCCACTGTCAAAGCTGGCGCTGGTACCCATCCGACTTTCAATGTAGACACTCTTCTTCAAGGAGGTAGACAGCTCCTCCTGGAGGAGCACAGGGAGAAGGTAAGCACAAAACTTTCCTGACATTTGTACCTCCTGCCCCTGCCTCCATGGATACCAACACTTTACCTCTTGGAGGCCTCCATTTAGCAAGGAAAGCTTCTTGATTTCCTCCTGTCGCATCTGCTTGCTGTCTAGCCAGATTACCTCATTGGAGAGTACTGGCTTCAAATCAGGTGTTGGATGAAGTTGGCCTTGGAGGCTATTGAAGATCAGAGCCAGGGAACGTGGGAGAATCCCTCCATCCTTGATGGTACCTGGAGGCATACAAAAGATGGACAGCTAAGGCAAGTGCCTTTCTCCCCCTAACTCAGAGCATCAAAAGGTAGACATCACCACTACAGGCCAATAAGCAGTCCTATGAAGCCTTTCGACTGACCTTGAATTGTGTGGGTTTTCCCGGAGTTGGTGACTCCATATGTATAGATGAGCCAGTTCTGCCCTTTGAGTACATCCTTTACCATCTCCTTCATGGTCAGGTTGAAGAAGGATGCTTGTCCCACTTCTGGCCCAAAGATCTAGAGACAGACCCAGTTTCTCAGAGGCCCATCCTTTATCTCCCACTTGCCTCCTGAGCAGAGGCAGCAAATATATCCCTTCCTGGGTGGATGGCTCTAGAAACCACTCAAGCAGATTCTTCCTGCAGTTCTGTCAGCTGTCTCCTAAACACTGACAATTCAACCATTCTTTGCTAGTCCATCTATCACCCAAATCAACAAAGACAAAGGAATGCTATGTACTGCACTAAGCCTGATGCTGTACATATACAATGAGCCAATATAATGGTCACAAGTGTGGGTTTTAGAGAACGGTGGATCTAACCCTAGCTATGTGGCTTTAGCAATATTACCTTCACTGATCCACAGTATCCTTGTCAGGAAAATAGGGATAACAATATAAAAATAACAGAATTGTTGGGAATTAATGCACATAAATTATTGGACACATTGAATAACAAATACTTAGGGCCCTCCAAAATTATAGATGTGCACATATAAGGAACTCATAGTTGAGTAGAAAACCTTTTCCTCCAAAGAGGGAATAAAGTTGCCCCTAAATGTTGATCCCTAATGAACAGACCAGTACCCTCCCATACCTGGGAAAAGGTAAACCTGTGAGTGGCTTGACCAATTCCCCGCTCATTGCTCTTCAGGGCAAAGGAATCCTTGGGTGCTTGTAGAACAAGTGTCTCCACATTCTCAATACGGACACAACCCTGAGAAGGGAGAAAATATAGTTGTTACAGAAGGAAACATTCCTGGAAATCTCTTCTGTACTGCATCATTCCACCCTAAATCCTCCCTCCTTAGATACTCACCTGATCCTCCTGTCGTTCCAACTCTAAAGGTAACAAGGGTCTGACCCTCAGGTATACTTTCACCTTCTCTGTACTGTCCTCAGATGTAACCTGTGGCAAAATTCCAGCCCACAACCACAGATTAAAGTCACAGTTACTTCTGAGCAAATGAGCAATCATAGCACAGCTCTAGGAATCATGGTAACACTACCCCAGTACCACCTCAAGTGTCTCTGCGCAGCTACTCTTTGGTTCCATAATCATTTCAACCCACATGGACTTTTTTTACTACTTTGTTACCCTTCCTTGTCTCATCATTATCCTGCAAACCTGGCTTGCCACACTAATGATATGAATTAGAATTGGTTGACTGGTATGAAAATCAGTATGTGAAACTAAAGCAAAGCATAGTAGTTAAGCACCTTGGAGGCAGACACACCTGAATTTGAGTCCCAAGTTCCTTAAATTCTCTTTGCCTCAGTTTCCTAACTTGTAGAATGGGGTTAATAATAGCACCCACCTCATTCATTCAGTAGATATTTAGAGTGCTTACTACGGCCCAGGAACATTGAGAGGCTCTGGCAGTCCATAGTGAGGGACATTATCAAAGACCCTGCTCTCATGGAACTTTATAAGTTTCTAAGAGAAAATCTATAAGAGGATAAAAATGTACCAATGTATGTTAATGCTTAGCATAGGGTCTAGTTCAGTGGTTCTTGACCAGGGCCATTTCACCTACAAAGGCCATTTAGCAATGTCTGGAGACATTTTTGGGTCGTCAAAAATGGGACATTTAGTGGGTAGAGTCCAGAAATGCTGCTAAACATTACAATGCACAGGAAAGTGCCCTATAATAAAGAATTATCTGCTCCCAACATGAGTAATGCTGAGACTGAAAAACCCTGGCCTAGCAGAAAGCAAGTCTGGAAGGTATGGTTGATATTATTAAAATCTAAATGTATATTCCACTTAAAGTCGGCATGACTTGTGTAAATTAATACAACTGGGCCTCATGATAAAAAGAGACAACTATTATCCTTCCGTCAGAGATTAACTGGAGAGCACGCACTTGAGGGTATTTCATTAATGCAATGCAAATAATAGTGCTTATGAACATACAACTCTACATTTACTTGCCATGCCCTTAATTTTGAACGGACCTCTCAGATCTTCAGGACTGGTGGTCTTTGACCTCATGCTGCCCTATATCAACTGTTAGGCTGAGTATATCATTTTCTGTCCCAAGTCACTTCCCAATTCCTTTACCTGCTGCTTGTCCTCCAGGGAGGCGGAGATGACAGAGCAGTCTGACAGTAGGTCCTTGCGTATCACAGACCCCAAATCTGCAGCTGTGGACTCAAACATGGGGGAGACTACAACATCTTCATCGGACAGCAAGCCGGCTGGCGGAGAAAGGATCCCTTGTGACATAACGGCAGGGGAAGCCCAGGTCTAAAAAGAGACAAGAAGAGTGGGTAAGGAGAAGAACCATAAAGCAGTGGTCCCCAACCATTTTGGCACCAGGGACAGGTTTCATGGAAGACAATTTTTGCACGGAAATGAGGTGGGGGTAGCGTCTAGGGGTGGGGAATGTGGAGCTCAGGCGGTGATGCCAGCGAAGAGGTGAGGCTGTAAATATAGACGAAGCTTCACTTGCTTGCTCACCCGTCCACCAGTCACCTGCTGTGCGACCCCCACCGCCCCACCCCGTCCCTAAGTTTCATGGAAGACAATTTTTCCAAGGACTGCGATGGAGGGGCAGGGTAGCGCTGAGCTCTCTGGATCGGTCCGCAGCCAGAAGGTTGGGGTCCGCAGCAGGAAGGGACAGAAGGGGCTGAGAATTCTAAGAAAGAAACAATTCCCTTGCCCCAGGACACCCGGGCCTGCGGACTGAATTACTAATCCCTTTTCCTTCCAATTACTGGCAAAGCGTAAGGGAAGGAGAGAACGAGCTAATTATTTAATTCAGTTTTAGGCGGTATTTCTGAACACGGACTGGCACCAACAACAGCTATCTGGTTCCAAAAGCAGAAGGCAACGCCCCAAGAGGGTGCCTCGCCCGCTGTTGCAGGAAAGGTGGTGTCAAGATCTCCAGGCTCCTACAACCTCACCCCAGGGCCCACACTACGCTATTAAGAAAAAAAGAGGTGGCTGCAGCTCTGCTTTCTGAAGGCCTATTCCGCGCGGGCAACAGCTGGTAACACGGGCTCCAGCCCACCCGCACACTCACCCGAAGACGTGACACTTGCTTTCTCCTCGGGTACTGGCCCACTCACGCCCCGTCGCCGAACCTGGACTTTCGCAGCCGGAGAGCACAACTCCGCCCACGAGGTGCAGCTTTGTCACCGATAAATATTTTAAATTACGCGCGGCGTTCGCTCGGCCAATCAGCTAGCGAAGCCTGCAACCACCAATCAGCACAAGGGAAGGGGGCGGACTCGATGGCGAAGCCGTTAACTTCGGCTTCACCTCTCAGCTCAACCGGTTGCGTCCGGTTTACCAACCGTCGCCAGTTCGGAGTTTCTCTTGGGATTCTTCCCACTTAACCCTTTTCTTTGACTCCTAGACAGCTGTCTCCTAAGAAGCCGAAAAGAAGTCCTGAGGCTTTAGTCGCCATCCCCTTCCTTCCTTAGCAACACTCCTTCCGAGGAGCGCCAAAGATAACGGACTTAGGCCGCTCGCTTCGCTGTGGGTCGAGGGGAAATCTCCGTTTCCCAGGAGGCACTGCGAACCAACGCCGTACTCTATTTCCCAGAGTTCCCCGGTTTCGGCCCAGCCAGACTGTTTTCTCCTCCGAGGTTGGAGACTTCGGGGCCAAGATGGCGACAGGAACCGGCAGTGAGTATGAGTCGCTCTTGCGTGGAAGGCCTTTGTAGAGTCGAGGCGAGGCACCGCATTTCTGTTACACGCTTACGGGGTGGTAGAAGTGGTTTGCCGGAGGGCCTCGGGTTTTCAGAGACCCGAGCTCGACGGCGTCGTGAAGGCCAGCGTTTGGAGGCCCAGAAACCTAGGGTCTTGTGTCTCTGGGAGGGAACGGAGGTTTGGGATAAGCAGCTCAGTGAGTCCTTGTGTGGCAGGAGCTCTGCGGGGTAAGCCATAAGGCACTCTAGAAACCTGGACGTGCAGACGAAGAGACGTTGTGGGCTATATGGAGTGGCCAGCATCTCAAAGAGCCATTCATTTTCTGACCAGCGTTTGTGAGCTTGTGGAAGTGGGGTCTTTTAACGATGAGGTTTTTCTGCCACTGAGGAAATTGCGTTTCATGCATTTAAGCCAGTCGTCTCTGTTTCAAGGATAGAAGAGATCTTTTAGGCCCGACAGTTGGTGGGGAGGGGCTGAGAGAAGTAAACAAGTTTATGCTAAGAGGGAGGCGGGCGGTAGGAGGGGCTGGCCGCTCGGAATCTTGGGAAATAAGACCTTGCGTTCTGTTTGGAATGAAAATACAGTATTCTTAAAACTGAGGCTTTCCATAGAACTGTTTAATCTGGCATTCCCTGTTTTTTAACAGAACGGAGCATGAAGCCATGGCGTTTGAAAAAATAAAATGTTCTATAGTTCGCATTCAACTAATAAGTACCACCTCCAGTGGTGGTGTTTCACTGAATTGGTGAAAATCAAAATTTGGTGACAGTAACTCACTTTGTTCTAACAAGTTGGGATGTTTTGTATTAGGCTTTTAGTCCTCCTTTTGGGGCTCAGAACTACTGTCTTAGTGGTTGTCTATAAGCCTTCTTGCCTTTCAGAACACAAGCTGCTGAGTACTGGCCCCACAGAACCATGGTCCATCAGAGAAAAGCTGTGCTTAGCATCTTCTGTCATGAGGAGTGGAGATCAAAATTGGTAAGGTATCTCAAATTAGTTCCACTTAAGAACTAAAAATAGAGAACTTAGAGAAACTGTAAATGCTTTTTGGAACAAAGCAGACTAAGCATAATTAAATACAGATTTTTTTTTATTTTATTTTATTTTTTTTTGAGACAGAGTTTCACTCTCTTGCCTGGGCTTGAGTGCCGTGGCATCAGCCTAGCTCACAGCTACCTCAAACTCCTGGGCTCAAGCGATTCTTCTGGCTCAGCCTCCCGGGTAGCTGGGACTATAGGCATGTGCCACTGTGACCGGCTAATTTTTTTCTACTTTTAGTTGTTTGGCTAATTTGTTTCTATTTATAGTAGAGAGGGTCTTGCTCTTGCTCAGGCTGATCTCGAACTCCTGAGCTCAAGCAATCCTCCCTCCCAGAGTGCTAAGATTACAGGTAAGAACCACCACGCCTGGCCTAAATACAGAATTTTGAGAAGGACTTGAAAATAAACTCAGGCCCAGGGCCTACAAGGAAAAAAAATTGGTGAGGTATCTAGGATGTCTCCTTTGTTGGGTCTCAAAAATTGTTGGGCATATTTTCATACTGGTGGATTCCTATAGTTAATCATATTAAGCTTTAAGCAGCATTTCTTTTTTTTTTTATTTTTTTTATTTTTTTATTTTTTTACCCAGCTGACACCTTGATTGTACAGCATTTCTTTTTTTAACAGCTTTATTGAGATATAATTCACATACTATGAAATTAGCCCACTTAAAATGTACAGTACAATGGTTTTTAGTATATTCACAGAGTTGTGTCACCATCACCACAACATAATTCATTTATATAGAACGTTTGTGTTTTCCCTGAAAGAAACCCCTTACTCTAGCTATCACTCCACATTCTTCCATCCTCCCTATCTCCAAGTAACCACTTGCCTACTTTCAATCTTAAGATTTGGACATTCTGGACATTTCACATAAATGAAATCATATAATATATGGTCTTCTGTGACTGACTTCTTTATCACTTAACACTTTAAGGTTCAGCCATGTGTAAGGTATATTAATATTTCATTCCTTTTTATAGCTGAACAATGGTCTATTGTATGAGTATACCACATTTTGTTTATTCATCACTTGATGCACATTTGGTTGTTTCCACTTTTGGTTTTTATGAATAATGTTACTGTGAACATTTTTGTATAGATTTTACGTGGACAATGTTTTCAATTCAGTTTTCCACCAAAGGAGTGGAGTTGCTGGGTCACACTTTAACTCTGTTTCTTTTTTTTGTGTGTGAAACAGAGTCTTACTCTGTTGCCTGGGCTACAGTGCCGTGGTATCAGCCTACCTCACAGCAACCTCAAGCTCCTGGCTCAGGCGATCCTTCTGCCTCAGCCTCCCGAGTAGCTGGGACTACAGGCATGTGCCACCATGCCCGGTTAATTTTTTCTATATATTTTTAGTTGGCCAATTAATTTGTTTCCACTTTTAGTAAAGACGGGGTCTCATTCTTGTTCAGGCTGGTTTCAAACTCCTGACCTTGAACACTCCTGACCTTGAGTGATCCTCCCACCTCAGCCTCCCAGAGTGCTAGGATTACAGGCTTGACCCACCACCCCTGGCCCTCTGTTTAACTTTTTGAGGAATTGCCAAATTGTTTTTCAAAACAGACACCTCTTTTGACATTTCCACCACCAATAAATGAAGGCTCCAATTTCTCTACATGTGCGAGAACACTTACTGTCTTTTTGAGTATAGCCATGCTAGTGGGTATGATATGGTAGCTCAATGTGGTTTTCATTTACAATACTCTGATGACTAATGTTGAACATCTTTTCATGTGCCTATTGGCCATTGTACATCATCTTTAGAGAAATGTATACTCAGTCCTTTGCCTGTTTTAAATTGAGTTATTTTGGCCAAGCGCGGTGGCTCACGCCTGTAATCGTAGCACTCTGGGAGGCTGAGGTGGGCGGATTGCTCAAGGTCAGGAGTTCGAAACCAGCCTGAGCAAGAGCAAGACCCCATCTCTACTATAAATAGAAAGAAATTAATTGGCCAACTAATATATATAGAAAAAATTAGCCAGGCATGGTGGCGCATGCCTGTAGTCCCAGCCACTTGGGAGGCTTAGGCAGGAGGATCACTGGAGCCCCCAGGGGTTTGGGGTTGCTGTGATCTAGGCTGACACCACAGCACTCATTCTAGCCTGGGCAACAAATTGAGACTCTGTCTCAAAAAAAAAAAATAAGAGCTTTATGGTTTTATCTCTATACATTTAGGTGTTTGATCCATTTTCAGTTAATTTTTATGTATGTTGTGAGACAGGAATCCACCTTCATTTTTCTGTATGTAGATAACCAACTATAACCACACCATTTGCTGAAGAGACTTTTTTTCACTATTGAATCATCTTCGTGCCAGGGAATGGGACTGTGGGTTCCTTCCTTTTTTTTTTGAGACAGAGTCTCGCTTTGTTGCCCAGGCTAGAGTGAGTGCCGTGGTGTTAGCCTAGCTCACAGTAACCTCAAACTCCTGGGCTCAAGCAATCTTTCTGCCTCAGCCTCCTGAGTAGCTGGAACTACAGGCATGGGCCACCATGCGCAGCTAATTTTTTTCTCTATATATTAGTTGGCCAATTAATTTCTTTCTATTTATAGTAGAGACCGGGTCTTGCTCTTGCTCAGGATGGTTTTGAACTCCTGACCTCGAGCAATCCGCCTGCCTCAGCCTTCCAGAGTGCTAGGATTACAGGTGTGAGCCACCATGCCCGGCCAAGACATACCTTTTTTCATTTTTAGTATTTAACTTTCTTCTTTCTCTTTTTCACCTTAGGATCTGAAGACACCCTTTAATTGTCTAAAGCCTTATAATCATTTAATAAGCAAATTTGTGTTTATATGGTACCTTTCTACTATAAACATTTAAGTAAATTTACAAAAGCGTCATTACTGGTCATACTTAGCATTTCTGCAACTATATATATTTCTCAAATGACTTTTCAAAGATGATCCTAATTAAAACTATCAAATCTAGTTCAGTTAGTTAACAATTCAAACACAAGGCATCATTGTAGTTTAAATTGTTCCATTGTACTTTAAATTGATCTTGTCACTCTGTGACAATATCTCTCAAAAAATTTGGTGAGGTGTAGTGGCTCATGCCTATAATCCCAGCACTTTGGGAGGCCGAGGCGGGTGGATTGCTCAAGGTCAGGAGTTCATAACCAGCCTGAGCAAGAACAAGACCGTGTCTCTACTAAAAATAGAAAGAAATTAATTGGCCAACCAAAAAAATATATACAGGCAGTACATATATCATAACTCTATCCCATGAACAAGATTTAATATTGACTTGAGTTCAGATTCACTTACGGTTAAATTAGTAGGTCATGTCTTGTATGGATGAATAATTTCTAATTTTCTAGTAGTTACATTTGTATATTCTTCATTATTTCGAATAGAATGATCTTAGCTATTTTTTTTTTTTGGAGACTATCTCCACGTCTATCTCGTGGTAGCATCCTTCGCATCATTCGTAGCTCACAGCGACCTCAAACTCCTTTCAAGCATCTTCTTCTCAGTGCCCTCCCTAGTATCTTTATACAGCATGGCCACCATGCCCGTCTAATTTTGTGTATAGTAGTATTTTATGGCATTAATTTATTTCTAGTTTTTTAGAGACTGGGGTCTCTCTCAGCTGTTCGAATCCTACTGAGCAGATCCGGCCCACCTCGCCTCCAAATGTAGATTACATGTGAACACCACACCCTGCTGCCATTTTTTTAATAGCTTTTTGTGTATAGATATGCAATAAACTGCAGATATTTAATGTAAGATATAGTACTTGAGATGGCGGGGCGTGTGCTCACGCTTTAATCCTATCACTCTGGGATGCGGG